GTCATCTCGCTAAACGAAGTGCATCGAAGCATCTAACGGTGCAGAGAAATTATAGTACACGTCACTGTAAATTAGATTTCTCCGGTGCGATAATCCGGACTGCCGAGCATCATCCTGAATTCGTCCTCTTCGCTTATTATTATTACTTTTTTTTTCTTTAAAGAAACCCTTTCTTTTTCCTTTCCTCCTTTTCTTTCTCCTCGCGTCCCTCGTTGCCGCATGCTCGCGCGGACGTACGTATGCTCATGGAAAGGATACAGTTATACACTATGCTCAAGCGAAAGAGCTAGAGAGAAGGAGGAAAAGGAGAGACAGACGGAGTACCTCGTCAGACAGAGGACCCGTTTTATAACTAGAGATTCATAACGGCATACGATCTTACAATGGACACTCGGTTGGCGAGCAGTGACAAACGAAACGGGATCCGAATCGGCGCTATTTCACGCCGGTGTTGGTTTCGCACGTATTTCGATTTTGTCTATTTATTTTTTTAGACGCGTATGTGGAACAAGATTACTTTCACACGCGGTTTAATTTTTTTCGATCGATAGAACAAAAAACAAACAAAAAAAATCTAGGTCTTTCGATTAAAATTCCAATAAAAAACTTTTCGGTCTTTGAGGTAGAAAGTGCTGTGTATACGCGCGCACATCTCGAAATAACGCGACTCATCGTTACGCGCATCTCGACCAATGGGCGTTGCTCATCGGACATTAATGACTTCAATTTCCTGTGGGCGCAACGTGTATCATCAGCATACGAATCGTTTTCTCCGCGAAACTGCGCTCGATCGAAACCCCGCTTTCCAAGAAAGCGACTGACAATCATCTTCATAATCAGTGGAAGTGACATTTATGCGCCGCGCGCGAATATTCAGAAAATACGCCTCGCATTCCGTATATCATTCAGATAACACAATGCTGGAATGATAAATACGAAGTATAGTTATCAGTTATATTATATCTTTACTCTGTTTTTCATCTTTATGCGATTTTCTCAATGTGACTCAAGAATATTATAAATATAATGCAGCATTTGATGGATTCTTTGCCTTAAAATAAATCGATTATTTGACAAAATAACACGTAAGTTGCATCTTAATATCGAAGCGTCTTGATAAAAATATAACTTTAACGTAATTGCAATTTATTATTGTAAAAAAATAGACTTTTCCGATTCTCGATAGGGCTTTATAAGATCTTTTGATTCAAGACCTATATTTGCCATCTATCTGCTTTCGTTTGTGGGATAAAAAAATAAAGAAAACAAATATATTTTTTATTTTTATTACACAACTACACACACGATGATGATGATGATAGGACCGAACTCTGCAATTATATATAGTTTCGTTGCTTTTTTCTTCAAGATTCTGGTTCTGTGCATCTTGAAACCTCCTCTCTCTCCAGATTGAGGTCGTCGGGTATTTTTTTAATACACTTTACGACGCACGATGTGAAAAAATAATGAAACAAGTGCGCGAAGACGCGTATAGCGACACATAAGTACGGATTATTCCACATGTTTATATTGCGCGCTTACTTTCGCACCTGCTGGCGCTTCGATCCGATTTCAGTGAATCGATTATAAGAATAGAGATTTATTCCGCGGCAGCGCGCGGAAACACGACGCGTACCCACAATGCCGCGCGATATCGTGCGAAATCTAGCGTTATGTGCCGCACAAAAGTTTACCGGCATCCGGCTTGTTTTTACAGCCCGCGGGGGAAATAGATATTTCTTTCGCGCAATCGGATATGGAAGATCAACTCCATTTCCGCGCATCGCATCAGTTAGCATTCCACGGCGCATAGCTCCCGGAACATTCATAACGGAAAAATCCCTCTGGACTCACGTGTGTGTTCCGTTAATGGTCGTCAAGATCGACGATCCGGAATCCCGAGGATCGTGGCGCCTCCCCTCCCCCCCCGCGTCACGAGTCTCTCTCGGCGCATCCCGCGTTCCTCTCGCTCGAGAGACGTTCTCCTCCGCGCGCTCATCCGCGCCGCGATATCTGATGCGGCGAATGCTCGACGGGAAAAGCATTACGGGCATCGCGATGCTTACAATGTCTTCCTTCATACCCCTCGTCCCTACCCCTCACCCCCGCAATCGCTCACGCGATGATCCCCTCTCGTACGTACTTGAGCTGCACCGCCGGCGTTGGCGCGGGTGCCGCGCACGACCCTTAGCTTTAATAACCGTGGAACACGGATCCTGTGCGGCGCTGCTCGCGAAGAATGGCATACGCCTCACGGATATCATCTCATCAATTACATCACTCGAGTAGCCGCCTGACCTCGAAACGCGCGAGAGAGGTGCGTGCATTTGACCCCCGCGTTTTCAATGCGATCAATTAGCTCTCTCCGCGTAATCGCTTTAGCGCGAGAGAGAATCCGACCTTATTTCAACGGGATTACGAGTGCAAACTCAATTGAATTGATTGGGTTATTACGAGTTGATGATCCGGTATTAGCTTTACCGACATTTTTCCTTATGCAACGGTTCGACCAGACGAGAATAATCGCTTTAACGAGTCGCGGCGCCTCGTTACGCGCTGCAGTACCTATCAATTTTCTAGACAATGAACGAGCTTCTCTGTTTCTCTCTCTCTCTCTCTCTCTCTTTCTTTGTGTGGCTTTGTAAAGAGAATCTTCGAAAAGGTCTTTTCATCCTTGCATCAAGGAGAAATCGCAAATGCATAATTATTTGGTAACAAAGGATGTTTTGTTTCGAAATTATCTCGTAAATTACGCGTATAAATGCGTCAACAAATTTTTATAAATTTTAATCACTACGAAACCTACCATCGCTGGGAAAAGATCAAAGGATCAATTAACGAATAATTGCAGACTTTAATCGGATTTATGTCAATCGATATCGAAGCAGATGCTGAACAACCGCCGATAGCCAATGCGTTCGCCAATGCGTTCGCCAGTGCGTTCGTCAACGTTGGCGCGCATTCACCATCTGTCATCTGTAGTCAGCTCTACGGAAATCAGGCGAGTACGGTGGCGAATTGTTTAGAAGCGCGATGTAAGCCGCGACGAGATACGTGGAGGGGAGCTAAAGCCGTTTAACGCTATTAAAGCACCGCGTTTTACGTGTGTGGATGCGCGTATATCGGTTGATGCGTGCACATGTGTGACTAACCGCTCGCGCGCGGGTCAATGCCTCGGCTGTCTCCGAGCAGTAGGCACCTACGTACTTACGCCACGATTACCTTTTCCCTCGCGTTACACACAAACGCGCATTTCAAGTCTACGCATTCGCATTCGTGTCACTTCCGCGAGGGAAGTCCGTGCGATGTCCGAGGGTAGAGCGAACTCTGTAAAATTAGCATCCTCTTTCTTCGGAATTTCAATATAACTTGTAGAGCTTCCGGCTTTTTTTCCTACAAAGAGCGCTAGATGTGTTCAGAAAAGAATTGGCAATGCGTTCGTCGAATCGATATTCTCGAAAGGGAAATCAAATGACTGGCGCGTATTTGTTACAATTTTTTAAATTAATACATATCTTATACAAGCATCAATCCTTACAGTGATCTTAATGTTACCATTTTATTAATTTTTTTTTATCAATTATGCGTTTTACATGGATATTATCAATCTTTAACCTTAATGTCGCCATTTTATTTTTTCAAATCAATTATGTGCTTTATATATAGACATTACCAATCTTCGCGATGATCTTAATGTTACGTACGCGATGTAATGTTTGATTAGAAAGTATGTCAATTGCGATAAGATTTATGACACTGCCTAATACGTTCGATTATGATACGATGCTATTATCACAAATAACAATCTTTACGTCATATTGCGGGAATCAACGTTGGTCCGGTGATTCGTGAGATCACGACAAATCTCTCAGCATTATGGTGCATTTCTGATCCACTTGTGCTATCGATGCACGATCGCGCGGCGATCGTGATCGTAACTGCCATTATTACCGCGGGTAACCCACAAAGCTAAGCATCCGTGGTCCGTGTCCTCGTGGTGGAATCATTGCACTACGCGGCATCGGACCGTGAAATGCCAGCGTGCGCGAGAGGAGCTCTTATCGCGGCGGATAAGATTATCTGCATACCGGACAGGTGTGAAACGGAATCGCTAGCCGCGATAACCACGGTTTTCGCCCTAATACAATTCTTCATTACCATTCGCGCGGAATCATTGTCTCGCGTGACGACGCGATATCGTATCCGAGCGAAGCGCCATGGATTGAAAGTTATCAATCCGCGGTTTATCAACTTATTTCCACAACAAGTGCCTGCGCAGTTTGATAAAAGTACGCACAACTGTTGAATTTTCTGTTTTTAATCTTAGAATTTTATAGGTGTTATTCTCATTAAATGAAATTTTAAGTATACTTTTAGAGAAATGTTCAATAACTGGAAGCGTTTATTGTTGTCGGTAAATGAAAATTTAGTAATAATTCGATCAAATAGCGAAACTGAAGTTTCGAATTTTTGAAAAATTAGGTACAATGATTTGCATTTATAATCAGAGTCAGTACGCGCCATCGCCTCCGTTCTGGCGGAACGCACCGCGTGAGTGAGGTACCGTTTGAAAACACCACGAAGGAAATTCCGCAGAGCCGTTCCACGATACGGACGATCGACACTACTATATACGCGACTCTCTAATTAAATGCAACATTCCGTACCGATTGCAAGAACATTTTTCAAAAAGAATGTCGCACCTGTTTTGAAATACATCATTTCCATGATTGTTTTTTTTTTTAATTTTCTCATGCGTTATTTGAATCAAATGTGCCGAGAACAAAATCGGCAAATATTTGACAAGATAAACTGTCTTGTTTTAGCAATGTACATTTTTCTATCTCAATCATTTAGATATTTGTGGATTTTTAGTTCTGAATATTGTTTTTTTATGGTGATCGTATCTCTATTCTTGACTTGCGCGATTGTTGAAAGATGAACGATGACGAAGTAAAAATTTCTCAATTTCTTTCAGTAACCAGTTTGTCGTTTTTCAGCGAGTCGGACATGGCACCCAATGCGGAGGAAGAGCTATTGGTCGTAAAACCCTGGGGACCGCAACCGGAAAAGGTAGAGTAGAGACATTAAGTAAATTACTGTGTCCCGATGTAACAAACAACGTTGAAACGATTGTGTCGCGTGTTGATCAGTTGGCGTGTAAATGGCGTAAGAGCTTTATGACGTAACTTGAGTCGCGTTAAACGGTCGTTTCACGCACGCAAGCAACCAGCCAGGAAGTTTTCAATTAGCATATCGTTTAACTTTGAGCAAGCGTAGGGAAAGTGTTCGCGCCCGAGCTTTATTTTGGCGCTACGTCAGGAAGACTCCGGCATCTCGGCACGATTAACGCATGCGGCGGGAAAGAGAACGTTAATACTAACATGAGAGAATTGCTGGCGTTTCAAGTTGAAGTAGCAAAGTCACTTTCTGCCTTGACCTTGTTGCCAACGGCACACGCGCATACAACTTGATTACATATTGCACAGCATCTCGTGAGCACTCGTCACTTGTACATCTGCGGAACAGTTTCTTTCACAGTTCAGTCAAATTTAACGCATTTTAAACGTCGCAATCAGGAAGTCTTTGTGCGCTGAATTCTACAATTTGCAACGATTTGCTGTGGCTGATTAAAAATCGCATGCCGCGTTAGCGGTACTCCGTAATTATCCACAATGGATTTGATAAATCGAGGGAAAGCTACATTTATCGCGCGTACTAATTAAAAAAATCGACATCGTCACACTACACCGCCCGTCTATATCGACGTATCTTTATTACAACGGGCGTGAAAGTTTTGAATTTTACACGACAGTTAAGATCGAAATTGCTTGATCTGTCGGACGAAAATGGAAATCGCTCACGGATGAGCCCGAAATTAGATCGACTGTGACGAGATATCGCGTGTGCGACCATACGCGATATTTCATCATTGCGGGAAAGTCGAAGACCAAGCGGTGATTTCACTTAAATTGCTGAAAGGATATGTAAAAAGAGCATAAAACTGATGATTTATTGAGAATGCTATTATCAATACTTTCAATATATCATCAGTTTCACAGATGATGGCGCGTGACGTTGCATTTTCTTTCACGAAAAATAAATAGGAAAGGGGCAAAAAAAGCCAGCCGCTTTTTTTTTCCAGCGTGAAAGACGAGCATATCTCCGCGAGTTAATTAATAGTAAGCAAGTGATATTCTTTCTGTGATGACGCTTGGATTTATTCGCGCGAATAAAAACAGAATGACATTTCAAAACTGGAAATTTTAATATACTTTAATTGAAGATTTTTAAATGCATTTTTCAATGACTACTTGTTGCTACAAATTGAGTTGTAACTAGCTGCTCTGACGAATCTTACGCGCTTACGGGAACGATTCTGAATATAATTGTCTCATTTGAATAATACATACTGCTTCCGCGTGCACGTCAATAACGGATTACTTCATAACTTATACATTCTGCATGAACCGCAAGCATGAAAGTAAATCAATTTTACGTAATTTTGTTCATGTGGCGTACGACGCAGATTAGCGGGAAAACATCCCTGATAAAAATCATTTCAAGGTACACTTAAAAGCTTGAAAAGCTTTCGCGTACCTTTTTCCTGTGATATTAATGCAAATTACATATAACGCCTAACATTATTCCATGATAAATAATAATGCTCTATGATTTATTTATGTGAAAATATTTTACATTAAAATCAAGCGAATATATAAAATATCTCGTAATGTTCACTTTGCGATAATTTTATCTTAAAAACTGTTGCAAAATAACGAGGAGAGTCGCTAAAAAAAAAATATGGTTTTACCTAAAAAAAAAATAGAAGGAGGACCATAATTGATTTTTGTCATCGATCCTAATTTTATTGCAATATTCATTCTTGCATTAGTTTTCAGTCTCTACTGCAAGTGATGGACAGTGAAAAATGCGATAATCACTATGATCCTATCAATCTATGATCGGAAGCGTCGTGAGTGTAATCACAGATATCTTTCTAGCCTCCGACATGAATATTTCATACTCGTGAGCGGCGATAATCGCGCGCTCTTCAAGATTCATTGAGCGTGCACGACATAAAACATCGCTAATTCGACCGAATAGTTCTCAAATCTCATCGCAGATGTTTGTCATAAACGAGATTGAAAATGTCATTAAAATTGTGCAAGCCGACAACTTTATGGAATAACATAATTTTTCTAAACTATTCAAACTGTTTGCAGGAACGGTTAAGACCACCAACGTACAACGCCGAAGATTACGCGATCGCGCTGAGACGATGGGGAAGACGCCCGTTAGGAACCGTTCAAGACTTTCAAGGTACTTTGCCGTCGACAACCAGTTCGAGTTCCGGTTACGCGTCCGGAAGTGGCGAGATGACCTTGAGACAGTTCACGTCGGTCAGCGAGCTGTTGAACAAACTCAGAGCCGATCTTAGGCTTGCTTTCCCCAGGTCAGTGCTCATATTTTTCCTTATTATTAGTAATTAAATTAAGCCGTTCGTTAGAGTTAACAAACATGATAAAGCAGATATCGCGTTCTCTTTAAACTGCCGCTTTCTAGTTAAATTATTTATTTGTCGGATATCCGTTCTTAATAGATATATTCCAGCTCAAGCGAATTAATTATATAGGCTGGTTTCATCATTAGTGTCATTAAAATAGGCGTCAAATCAATTTTTGTTTTATATTAAGATAACGTCTTAAATATGGACGCTCAATTTAATATAATATGCAAACATATCTATATATTTTATACACGTAGAAATTGAAAATACTTTCTCACAATAGATCGCACGTTCGTTGTGAAATGATTATATAGAACAGCCTGAAAGGAAGTGATTACTGTTTATATTTGCAATGCGGGGTTGTTCCACTCTCGAAGAATAGCGAATTTCTGAGGATGCGGGAAAACGCACGCGGAAGAAGTATGAATTATTTGCCAACGATTAAAATATACGTTTGCTGTTCGTGCTCCCTGGCTGGAACTAATGACGTAGATATTCATCTCATAAAAAGCAAAACACAAAGTATAAGTGAATACAAAATACGTGTTTAAAAACGCCGAGACTGCAAAAATTAAAATTTCCATATTTGAATTTCCACACAATATAAAAATGATAAATAAATAATATATTAAACTCTCCGGTACGATAAGTACAATGATACGACGTGAGAAATCGTTCGTATTCATTTGGTTGGATTTTTTGTTCTCTCTTTTTTTTTTTTTAAGAAACGGAACAGATGTAGAGTGCACAGTTACTTTTTATGGCGTTTCGCGCACGAAGTGGGCCTGAAACATTCAACTCATCAAAATTCTTCCTTCTTAATCTTGGGACTGATCGGTCGGGACTTTATATCCTTAGCGAAAAATTCTCGTATGATCAAAAGAAGCGCCCGAGCGAAAACATAATTATAGTCTATCCTAATTATCTAATCTATTCTATACATGTAATTAATCTATTAGGGGTCTTAAATACGTATCTAAATAATATTTAACTCCGTTTTATTTATTTTTTATCGTGCAGGTAACTCAAGAGAACCTCGCTTCTCATTGTCAGTCTTGTCATGCAGTTCTAATTTATGCGCTAATAACGCACACGCGATGCATCTTTTTTTTTTTTAACTCCAATTAGCTTCAGTCGGTTTTGATTAGCTCGCTTCGGTTGAAATAGCGAGTTGTTGGATTTCACTCGACGCTATCGAATGGAAATCGAAAGAAGAGAAAAAGAATAATTCGATAAGCAAAATATGTAGTTAATAACTACATCGATAAAAGCAATGAACACCGTGTTGCGCAATACGGTATTGCAACTTTACATATTTTCTTAATCATTAATAATGGTATTTTTTACTAGATAATCAATCATATGCTACACGCATTGGAATATTATATCTCTTCGATTTCCCTGACGCGTTTAACGGCATGATAACTGCAATTTCCGTCAATTCTAAAATTAAAGTTACGGTGTATTCTGCCGCTCGCCGATTATAAATCCCTCGATTTACATGGCGAGGGTGATCGACCGTGCGTTCCGTTCAAGCGGTAGGGAAAGAGCGAGACGAGAGGACCCGTTAGGCAGATGATTAAAGACAATACTTAATATTAAAATTTTTTTTTTTTCGAAGTCTCGTCGGTACATCGCGTGTCCCGTACACTTCATAGAACGAATATGACGGCTCTATCCTCACGCGCGTTCGCGTTCGCACGCGCGCGTCATGTGGCAGACGAGAGAGTGTCCTAGATAAATGAGTTATAATACGTTACACTGATAGATGTTGGCGGATAACCCGTAGGTAGCGGCTTCGGATAACCGAATACTAATATTACGACTAACTGTATAATGACGCACCGCCGCAAATCGATCTGGCCGAGCTACATTCTCCGTCTTCCCTGACGAAACAGCTGGAGCGACAGGTGTATCACTTATCGAAGCCCTATCAGAGCGTTTAATCGTATTTTCATGGATTCGCTGCACGCGTAGGTCATATTAAATGAGCTCTTGAGAGCTCAACGTTCTTATAACGGTAGTCACTCGGCGAGCGACTGCCTGCAAAAATCGAATTCTTCGAAATTATCGTGTAAAGCAAGGTATTTTAATAGTATGAATTGATAAAATGAATCGCGCGAAGCGAATCCATTAAATCCGGTTTGTACGCATGGCTTTTATCAATTACATCAGCTTTAAAATGAAGACACTTGATACAACTTCCTGGTGAATTTACGATCGGATTTACTACAGGAAGTTCGGGGATTATTCTACGGACTCGACGGAAGTTGTATCAAACTAGATAAAGTCGATAATAAAATGTAATCCACTTTCTCTTAATAAAATCTAATCTACCGAAAGAAATTATCTGTAAGTAATTTTTCTTTCATTTTTCATGCAACGCTCCGGCATGTAATAACAAAAATCTTTTTAATTTATGTTTTATCGATATCTCTATTTTTTCGGAATAGTTTATTAAACTTATTGATAACAACATCAATTTATTACATTCTCATCCATTTTAATTGAACTTTTAGTTTCACGAAAACGCGCAGTTTTTTTTTTTTAACATAGAAGGAAGAATTTCAATATGAAAAGATGAGGAAGATGACTGTTCGGGAAAAGTATATTTTAAAATGCTGAGAAGAGCGCGCACGTTTCGGGATGACACATTGCAGCTGCACTTCGAGGTTCACTCTTCTCTCTTTTACACTGTCACTCTCGTCGTCCTTTCGTTTTCTCCGCATCCAAATGTGGCTGGTCGGGCATTTTTACGGCGCAGGCAACAAAGGCGGATCCTCCGTATTTCGTGCACGTACTGCGCCGCGTATCGCGATATCTCGCGCGCATTATACATAATACGCCGGTAACATAATGCACCCATTGTTGAGAGGGAAGAACCGCTGTCTTCTTTCCCGTCCCTTCCTTTGTCGCTAAACGACGAGAGACGTCGACCGCAACGGTATAGGCGCGACCGCATAAGAGGCGTTTAATACTCATTTGCATGTCCCCGTGTATCCCGATTCACCGCACGTCGCTTACATACACGCTGTTTGTACCGTCTAGCGTTTTTTTTTTTCTTCGGAAAGTTACACGCCACAACGCTGTGGACGCTATGATGCATCGACGTTGCACATTTTTCAGCCGTTCGTCTTCGAATGCGCGCCTTTGACAACGCTTCTTTTAATGCTCGATTCTTTTCCGATCTGCACTAGATCTGTTATTGCGTCGTGGCAATCAGCGACCATACTTTCGTTCGATAATCAAGAATTGTTGCACGAGGTGAGGTAACAAGGCATTGTTCCCAGCATTGTTTTCGCGCGTGAAAATGTGCCAAGTGAACGGTGGTAGATAATTCAACAGGCAAATGGCTAAGGATATGTTACGAAAATTAGGTAAAGATATTATGTATCGATATTAAATATTTCTATTATAGCAATATGCCAATCTTCTAGTGTAAATTTATACGATTCAGAGCATTGTATTAATTCACAGTCCTCATTTTTGTAGACGTTGTTGCAAAAGAGGATTAATTTCAATGCTTAGAACGACTTTTCGATTTTAATGATATATTTAACTTGATAATCGCATAAAGATTTTTTAGACCCGATAATTACTATGATAACAAATCGCATAATGTTTCTATTTTGCTTTTCTTTCAGAAAATAATAAATAATATTTCCGAATGTTAATAAAATGAATAGCAATCTAAAAATATCCAATATATTGTTAGTAAACAGCGATTTTTAAGTAAAGTCGAAAAATACTCCGCGCGCCCATACACGCAAAAAAATTACGCAACTATTTCTGGCTTAGTGTAAAAACGATTTTTTTTTTCACCGTAAAGAAAGGTGGAAAAAAAGAGAGGAATGGGGAAAAAGAGTAGAAGTGAAGAGAACAGAAAGAGGTAGAAAATTCTTGTCAATTACGAGTTTTCAAACCCGTAAAATTACGGATACTCGCGAGTGTGGAATTGTCGCTGCGTGACAAACGTAACGTGTACACGTACATACTTCCTTGTCTCTGCACCTGTTTACCTTAAGGCGTCGCAAATAGTCGTAAAGGGAAACCATCTCGCGTTGCTGCTCCTCGCGTCAATGCGATCGATGAATCGGAGCTTGGTAAAAGGATACTCGGAGAGCGATACTCGGATACTAGTGAGGCTTCATTTACATGATGCTATGTAAAGTCAACGACGTACGAATCAAGTATCGCGCAAGAAGATATAGGATCTCCCATCCGACTTCTGCATTATTTGAGCTATATTAAACATACAGTAGCAAGATACGTCTTGTTAACGTTAAACGAATAAGATGGATGGCTCTTACTTTTCCTTGCGGAGAGAGAGAGAGAGAGAGGAAGAGGGAAAGAGAGAGAGGGAGAAGCCTCATTTACCTGTTAGTTCGAATACAGCATTTTCCGGCAAATGAGATACTGCGCCGTTGTAGTTCGCGTGTTGAGAAAGCCATCCCGTGGAAGCCGAGACAGGTCTTGCAACGTCTTTGTTAATATATTCCGTATCGATGATGATCGATTCCTTGATCCAATCACGAAGCCGTCCCGTTCGGTCTCGTGGTGACAATCTCAGAAGAAACTCGCTGGGCTGCACGTGCATAAACCGGATCGGGCGAGCGAGAAGCTACGTATAATTACGTAATTACTATCTTTTTTCTTTGTGTTGCAATATCTGCAACGTTTATACGACAATTTTTAACTGAAGGGTGAAAATGTTACCCGTGGTATTATTCATTGGCGTAACTATTGCCGCTTTTAAGCTGAAATGAAGAGCCTTCGCATCAAAAATCCTTTAACGGAGCATTATAATTCAGAGAGCAATTTAAATCCAATTTGCATAAACTGCTCGATCACAAATATTTTTTAATTTAAATTTCGAATTATAAAACGGAAGGCAAAGTAACATGACATCTTTCCAAAATTTGGTTTAATTCAGCGTTTCCAGTTAAATAGAGATCTATAAAAATTTCGGCTTTGTCGCTTCGAGTGAATCGACTCGCTCCAGCCGAAAAAAACGCCACGATCAAAAAATGTAAGGTTGATTGTGCAATAATGTAACTTGATTTCTCTCTTTCAGCTTTGTGCAGGAATTTGCCTCTCCGCCTGCGGACGGTATTACATTGTTGCTGGAGACTTTGCGCGGTGTTCAACTGGCCCAAAGCTCACCGCCGAACTCGGGACACGCCGGACCTAAGATCGGCACCAGAAGGGCCGCCCTGGACGAATTGGGATGCGTGGAGTGTTTGGCCGCGTGCGGCGAACGGTGCGCCGATGCGCCACGGCTATTAGTGCAGGCGCAGCCGGGTCTTCTGGCTCTCGCAGTCTGTCTGACTAGTAGTCTGAACCGGTCTCGGGTTCTGGCTCTTCAGGTAACAATCGCCACTTCCGTTCGCGAAGCGTCGCGATACCGTTAGATAAAAAGAACCGATTAGACACCGACGTATCGCGCGAATGTCAGCACGCCTGTGAATGTCAACGATCTCGCGAAATAACGCGACCATTTCTCTCTTCCCTTCCGCGATAGATTCCCTGAACTGTTTAATCAGCGGACATTATGATCGATTGATTCAATACACTTGTATTTTTTTCGTGAAATTCTCTATAATTTATTATAGTGCAGAATTGTTTGTATTTTCTTATTTTAAATTAAAAGGTAAAAATGCTGAAGGCATAATAAAGATAACTGTGAATCGACACACTAATACAAGAGTCATAAAATTATATTTGCTTCGCAGCTTTGTCGAGGAAAAATAAACGAGCAACAGTTATCGCGGGATAAGATGGCACTGGGTCACTCGCATTGGCGCAATAAGTTAATGGTTTATTTTTCTGAGCCGGTCATAAACGCGTGTCTCGAACGAAGGCAATACGCTCCGCCAGGCCGCGATCCGTTATTTCGAGGGTACTCACCGACGAAACCAGTTTTTATCGTTTATCCGCCAAACGTTATTCGGTCGGAACGCGATTGACTTCATTTGCAAACCCGCAGACGCGCGTGAGGATAACGTTGAAATCTTTTCTTTTCCGACCCTCGGAAATGCGTGCCTTGACGGGCGGATATCGCGCAGTACAATCAACCGCCGTCTGTTCGCGGCGGATAATTACTTCCACGGCACGTGATCACAGAGCACTGCAGAATTGCAAAGAATGCACGCGTTCATTGATCAAGTTTCATAGAAATCTGCCGTGCGTGAGACATTTTGCAATTGTTTCACATTAATTTTCTTTCACCCAGCACGTATGGCGCAACTTATTAATCTTCCGCGATTCTAGGCAAAATCTGAATACGACACATTAATATATATTTGCAGCTCTTAACGAAAGTGTGTCAAGCGCCAGGTGGACACGCGGCTGTCTCGGAAGCGGTATCGACGCTGAGACTCAAGTACGGAGAAGGAGGGAGATTCCGATTTTTGGCCGGTGCTCTTTTAGCCCCCAGAGCGGCTATCGCATTGCGGGTCGCCGGAGTTTCGTTCTTGAATGCTTTTCTGAAATCTGCGCCTCGCACGCAAACTAGATTATATATTCAGGTGAGAGCGCAATCGCGAGAATTATATTTGACACGTTTATTTTGTCCAGGTGTAACATATATTTAAATAAGTAATCTTTAAACATGACTTTCTAATAAAAATTCACAAAAACTCAAAAGATCTCGATAAATTCAAATTAAATAATGTCAGAAAAGACTTTTAATACTTTTCTAAAAACTAACTTTTTCTATTTTTACAAAATTCTTTAAAAATTAGGAAGATTTTAAAAACTCCTCGCATTCAAGGATTAAAGCGATATAATTAACACAGCTATATTTAATGATTAAACTATACAGACGCTAATATTTCGCTTTCTTTCAGGCCGAAGCCTGCGAAGCTGGTTTAGAGCCGCAGGTTCTTCAAGAATGGCTGAGGGAATTCGATGGACGCGAGGAGGACGCTTTAACTGATTTATTACACAAGGAAGTTCAGAAGTGGACGCACAACTGCGTCGATGTGGACGCGCTGCAGCGTAGGGTAATGCGCGCGGAGGAAACTTGCAGGATACTCAGCGAAAAAGTATCATTCCTGCAGATACAACTCGAGAAACGGAATGATCGTAATTTAGAAGAGCGAGATAAATCCACGTCAATAATCCTCACTGCCGCCAATCCTAAAAGTCCGAAAGTGTCCTCGAACGCGGAGGACGAAGGTATCAGCTCCTCCGAAAGGTCTAGCAGTCCCGAAGACACGAAGCCTCAAGTGAGAACCAACCGCCAGAAAAATTCACCTTCGCAAAGCAATGATCAGGAAACAACGATAGACGATGTGATCGAGGAGCTGAGGATTATTGTAAAGGATGCCGAGGAGGAATTCAGCGACAAGATTCAAGAGTTGAATCATCGTATCGTCAATCATGATCAAGATGCAGTCCGTAACGAACAGGAATTGGTTAAAGGCAAATTATACAGGTCGAATTCCAAGATCTCGTTGAATAACTCTGAAAGTTACATGTACGATAAAGTATCCAAGAGGGAAAAACATGTGAATTTGAAGACGCTGAGGCCGAACGTGGGCTCAAATGCGCCTCCGAGTGAAATAAAGGGCGAGCAGGTGACGTATTTCGGCAACGATCGAGATTACAGCTCGCACTCGAGTAGCACGAAGAGATTGAGTCCCAACGAGCCGCGCAGATCGTCCAAGTCGTCGATGGAAGGCAGTGTAAAAATCGTTGTTAAGGGACCGGACGTGGAGGAGGCGATTGTACCGGCCATTCTACATCCGCAACCACCGAGAAGAGCGCCGCCGTGCTTATCGGCCATCATGGCCGCTAGGCACTGCGACTTCGCCGATCAGGCGGAAACGTATAACTCTCACGACGAGGAAGCCGAAGAGGAAACCTTGGGCGACGGCAGTGATTCGTTGTTAAGTGCTTCTAGGCTCAAGTATAACGGCAAACATCAAATGTACGACGAACAAATGCGAAACGTGAACGCGGATCAACTGCAGAAGCAAGCCAAGAGTGACACTATACTGATAGGTTCGAATCACACCGATATGTTCAGAAAGAGTCTCGACGATCTTCGCTTCGAGAAGAACGACGCGAAGGACAGGAAAGTGTTGAGAAGCTACGAAATCTCGAAAGAATCGAAGTCAAAGGTGATTACAGACGTCAGGCCGCTTAACAAACAAATCGACAGACAATTCGAGTCTATTTCTAAAGGACTTGAGACGTCCTCCGGACGATCCGCCGATCAGCGGCGACACAATTCCAAGTACAGAAGCGAAGTGGAGAAGAGAAAATATTTGCGTCGTTCAGCCAGTCACGATTACCTCGAATCGAACGTGTCCAGTCCGCAGTCGAGACGGTCGGGCAGCAGAGTGGAGTGTCGCATCAGGAAATTTGAAAGTTTAAATTCCTTCGACGAGCATCGAAGCTTACAGAATTACGGCAGATTGAACGGTTCGGAAAATCTTGATAAGCGAGAACGAGCAATGCTCTTAGCCGATTTCTCCCGATCTAAAATGCGTAGGTCGGAATCCTTTCATCACGTCTCACATCACGCGTTGAAGAGGGACCAATGCTCATCGAAGGGGGAGAGTGACAGCGGTCTCTTCTACATCACCGACTTTAATTTGGAACCTCTTGTCGCCAGAAGACCACGATCGGTCGACGCGCCGAAATCTCCCAGTCTACTAACCAAGTCCCTGGACAGGATTGACGAAGGTTTAGACTCGATGGTGGACATTGTTATTATGCAAGAGCAGAATCAGTGGAACGCGGGTAAACGTCAATCGAAGGTGAACAAGTCTCGCGATGAGAAACTGACGCGATCGAGATCGGTCAGACCTGATGACTTCGGCGACAGTTCTTCCGAATTTAACAAACCGATAAAACGAGACAATTCTGCTCTTAAGAACAGGAATTTGAAGAACGTTAATAATAAGCAATTGAAGAACGACGAATTTTATGAAGAACAAAGAACTCGCGAATGGAATTATCATAACGAGTTAAATTACGCGAGGAGCAAGAACGAAATGAGCTCGGAAGACTCGCCGGTGATATTGCCAAAAAATAATATGAGACACAATTCCTTTTGTCAGAAGGATAATATTTCTAACAAGTTTCCTGGCAAGCCGAACGAGTCCGGAATTTTCGCTGGGCGAACGTACGATACATTCGGTCTCGGAAAGAGCCGCTTCAACGCAGGAAAATACTCAGGAAATCAGCAAATTAAGGAAAGTCCAATTGGCCGAAGAAACACGACCTCTTCGTTGATAGGGAAACGTGGAAAAGTGACGGATATCGTCTCGGGTCTTTACTGAATGTATAACCTTATGCCGTACAAAGTTTTAAAAAGCTAATGAGTGCGATTCGTATGATTTAAATAATTCTTCGAATATTCTTTTTGTTTAATTTATTTAAGAACGAAAGAGCTCATTATGTATCAAGTCACATTTTGTTAAATAACGTATCAAAATTATTTAACCCATTTGTTTCCCGAAACTTTGTTTTTAAAAATATTTGTTTACAGGACAATTTGGATATATTTAAAGTACTAAAAATTGATGCAAAATAATTACTTAATAAAATAATTTGCCAACAAATCAAATTTTACATAAAATTATGCAAAAAAATATGTGTATTACTTATATTCGTTCAATAACAATAAGATGTTAATTTTGACAAAATATGACTCCGATAAACTGATTTGTAAGAAAGAGTAAATATAAAGATTCTATTAATCGATACAATTATCGATTAAAAAAACGGGAATCATCTTAAGTGCAATATTTCTTAGTATTATTACGTTATATATGTAAGAATTACGTTTACCTGATATATACCTAAAAAAATACCTTCTTTCATAACGATAATTTTTTGGTGATGGACTCTTGCGTGCCTTCGCTACATTGTTTGATGTCACTCTTTATGCAACAACGTTTGTATATGCAATAGTAGTGCAAGTGCCAATTAAAATTATATTTTTCGTAGGTTTCTATATATTATATGTATATATATAAATATAGAGACAATCGAAATATAATGTCTATTTATATTTACCTTTTCCACATTATTAGTTTTTTTATCTAAATAATAATTGCTCTAAAATGTAGACTTGTTTCTTTTAAAAAAAATTAATTAGAGTACTGTTATGTTACAGAACACTGGAAAAGTAGATAACAAAAACAAACATTTTAAAGAGTAATAAGTCAGTTAAAAATGAACTGCTAATTAAATATAGAAAGTTGAGTTTTTGAATTCCAAAAAGCTGACTGCAGTTTTTCTTTCATATTTGTGGATAGATTTATAGACAATTTAAAGTGTTAAAAGGAATCGAAAACTACATCTTTTTACATTTGTAGAAAGATATCTAATGTTTAAAAGATTATGAAAATCAATCAGAAATAAATCTTTAATTGAATATCATGAATCGAGTTTCCTAGTTTTTATCATCAAACATACAATATTTTTCATATATTTAAGTAAACTAATTTTCAGTTAACAATATTAAAAAATGTGAAAATCAAGTAGAAATGAGCTTCTAATTAAGTATCTATCAAAATTTGATGTTTTGGTTGACAAATTTCACAAGCTTTTCTGCATATTTTTATCTACATTTTTAAATCAATAATTTTTACCACACATCAGAAAAATAACGTTTAAAACAAACAGCAGAATTTTTAACTTTTAAATCGCAAAAATTTTTATATTAAGAAGGAAGATAATAAAACTTTTATATTAATAAATGAATATTTATTTCTTTGTCGCTTTTACTTTATTTTTTTATGTGCTTAATATCAGTTTTGTAAAGTTAACTGATTTATATAATATTCTATTTAATAAAATTCTTATTCTTGTCTTATATTGATATAAAGAAAATTGTATAAGAAGATTCGATTTCAACTTGCAGTAGCGTGCAAGAGTGTACTTGTAACTTCACTTAGCTCATGGCAAGAACCACGTGCATTTCTATGAACCATCTCTGAATTACTCGATATAGGTGTATGTAGTAATTTGCCATGCGTCTGATCAAGCAATTGTAAAGATTTATCTGGAAATAAGACGATGTACACATAAAGTTTCCCTGAACAGAAGATATTTCTTAAATTCTAGTGTTATGTTCAACATTATAATAAATGATTACCTTGATTCGTCGATAACAGGTAAGAGAGCTCTTCTTGGGTCGAAACATACTGAAACTCTTCGCCACAAGCGCCTTTCAGAACAGTAACAACCTCTGATCTTGGGTTATAGAAATATAAACCCTGTTTGCGACTGCTAAATTCATTGATCAATGTTTTTATACCCTAAAAATGGCCGAAAATATTTAAATTAAAACTTATACAGTAACCATATTAATTTCAGCATACTTGAAGGTAACAAAAACGTTACCTTGGCAGCTGTAAAGTCTGCTCCTAAAATGTATCTACAATCTACAACAACTGGTACTTGACTAGATCCTTGCTTTATACCAGCATTGCCAACTGACTGCTTTATAAAATCGACAGCTGGGAAATACAAGCTGTTTCCTGGCGTAACCAACAAGTATTCCGCGCCACAATCAGTCTATAACAAAAAATGCCATAAATTTTATCAACATGTAGACGCAAAACAGTAAAATCCTCCTCTTTTCACAGTTCTACAATTAACATCTTAAAATAATGAACAGAAAAGAGAGAAGAAAAAAATGCCTTTATCTGATCTCTTGCTACTTACTGTATATTTGTCGACGTGGATTGTGGGTCTTGCGGAGGGATACAATAGGAACATCAAATTTATGCCGACTCCCGACAAAATACCATACTCCACGCCAATGACGAGGCAAAACAAAAAAGTGACGAACATTGGTATGAGATCCTTTTTACTTGATTTCCACATTAGCTTCACAACTTCGTATTCAATCATGTATATTACCGCACAGATGATTACAGCTGACAATGAAGCTGAAAAAAAAAAGAAGATAACGATGCCAAATTGGTGTTCATTATCTATTGTTGTTTGTGTGCAGCTACTAATGATTGTGCCAAATTGGTATTCATTACCTATTATCATTATTTGTGTTGCAGCTACATTACCTTTCGGAATGAAGTAAAAATATGGTGTGAGTAAACTGAGAGCTAGCAAAATCAGGATTCCGGTATACAGTCCGCCCATTGGAGTCTTCACACCGCTGGCATGGTTTACTGCCGATCTGCTGAACGATCCCGTAACTGGCATAGAGCTCGCGCAAGACCCGAGCACGTTACAGATTCCGAGCGTAAGCAGCTCCTGAGTAGCGTCAACTTTACCCTCGTTCACGAAGGCTTTAGCTATGGCTACGTTGCCGAGTACTGCTATTATCGGCACTAATACTATGGAGGTACCCAGTTCGGAACACATTTGCGTGAATGTGAATGTCTGATTGTTCACTTGTGTGGAAAAAGGTGGAAGGCCAAATGATGGAAGACCAGATCTCACGGGGCCTGTCAGAATAAACGGTGATCCAGACTCAGATGTATCGTATTTGTAAGCGATGACGGAGCAAACGACGACAACAATGGCATTTCGCGCTGTGGAGATCAGCCATATCGTTTTCCTGATTATATGCTGAAAGTTCGACTTCTTGCCAACGATATATAATTTGACATCTTTCATTTTCTGCAAAGCATGTGAAACTTAGCAAAAAAAATATGTCAAATGTAATAAAAGTGTTAAGCGATAACATTAAAATTCCTTACTCTGAATAACAATAGAATTATGATACAAGAAATACTCATTCCAGTATCCCATGGACTCGTGTCGCCGATATTTTGGAAAACCTTGGTCAAAGTGTCTAAAAATCCCTGTGACGAAATTTTTAGACCTAGCAATCCTTTCAATTGCGAAGCGACAATTATAAGGGATGTCGCTGATGTAAAGCCCACAGTTACTGGTATCGAGATGAAGTCTATAAGTACACCTGCAAAATTGTTCTTTGCGTGAAATGCAAATAAATAATGTCGATTACATCACAAGAGATATTAAATATCTGATAAGAATGTCTCCAATTCTTTTACGATAATATCTTGCATATTTAAATAGAAATTATTTTTTATCCCACATTCGACGATCGTTTCTTAAATCAAAGTATTTTCTTATTTGCTTCAGCTTACCTAAACGTAAGCATGCCATTAGTAATTGCAGACAACCGGACAAGAATGCGAGAAGTATGGCGAAATCCGCATTTCTTCCTCGCACATAATCATGAGTCATTAGTGCCATGAGCGCAGTTGGACCGATTGTAATATCTTTACAAGAACCAAATATCACGTACACCATTGCTCCCATAAATGCTGAATAAAGACCATACTGGAAGTAAATACAACATTGATAATACATACGATCTATACAACTTAACAAAGTGAGACGAAAATTGCACAACTTGTGTTATTCATTAAATTAAATTTCTGGCGAAAAAAAAAGGAGCTAACGTCTTATCTAGTATTATCTTAGAAAATAGTATTATCTTATCTACCTAAATAATATTATCTCATAAATTATATATACCTGAGGTTCTAAGCCAGCCAATGTCGCGTATGCGAGTCCCTGTGGCATAACTGTCAGACCAACCGTGATACCGGCTATTATGTCGCTGAGGAATTTTTCAGAGTTATATTTCGGCAGCCACGCTAAGATCGGCACGCGTTTTGATGTTAATTTGCTTAATTGATCAATACAGGATTTCTTCTTCCAACGATTACCTTCGATTGCCATTCTGGATCAAGCTTTATGAACAAAATAATTAACAAATAAATTTATTTTAGATTAATACACCACTTTTTTTGTGTAAGTTTTCAATATTCATTAAATGAGTGCGTTAATAATATTTAATATGATTTGATTACTGTACGAATACACATATTTTAATCTTAAGTGAGCACTCATGTTTTAAGATTAATCTATATCTATCTTTTCTATATCGATAATGGAATAGAATTTATGTAAGCGTGTTTGCTTGCTTATCAATTGAAAACTACTGTGCAAAAGTAGCTTAATGTAAAAGTAAATGCGTATTTTAATCCATGTGTGTCGATATCAAAACCAGACAACGATACGGTTTAGTTCTGCATTCGACAAACATAATACCTGATTGCATTAAGATGTTAATGTATCGCTAACTGGAATAAACTTGTTATTTCAGATAACAACTGATGTCTTTCTCAAAAATTAATGTTCTTCAATAAAAAAAGTTCATAACAATTATTCATTCTTAAAATTAATAAAAAATTGTAATAATTTAGAAACGATAAATTTTAACAGCATTTGAAAGTATTATGTTTAATAAGAACTATATCGAACGTTTTATTGTATGTTTTCCATTATTAATTGTAAACGATAGAATGTAATATTCAATATTCTAACAGCAAAAGGAAAAAATTAATTTATATTTACATGGATTTGGAGATACACGTGCAAAATTCGTGACTGAAAGCAAAAATTCTATTTATTGCGTAAATTCTTTATGAATTAAGTCAACCATCTTGTAAACACACAAACACAAATTTAAAGTTTGTCGATGTATAAAAGATATTAATTGGACACATACAACAGTATTCTCAACAGTATGTAACAGTACATCCTCCTTGCATAAATAATCCCTCCTGATCGCGCTCTGAATGAATCGATTGCGTTATCTGAATCGCGTGTATGTTCGTTCACGGAAGCACCGATAATCCAATTTATCGCGGAGCATAACTCGCGACGCGAGATTACGTTGTGGGATCAGCCGCGTCCTTAGTTGTACTATTAAAGTTACCATAAATATAAAATGTGAAACCGCAACGAGATAACCGATCGAAGATAGAACGGTGTCCGGAGGCGACAGGTACTTTCACTAAAAGAGGAACGGGTTCGTCGAACGCGCGTATTTGTTTTGTCTTTTTCTTCGATACAATTCCAATTCATAAAAGCTACTTCGAGTGGGATTTATTCTCCTGACAGGTCGCACTCTCTCAGCCGAAGCTCGCTCGTAAATTCCGGCAGGCTGCAGACTGAAAGTATGCGTGCTCCGTCGAGTCTCTTATATAGTCGGATAACGGGCCGAACTTACATCGGCCTGGGGAAAAGTCGCTGTTAACCTTCGCACTTTTTCACAGAAACTATAAAAAATTATGTTCACGATAGGCTCATACATACCGAATATATCGTGTCATTCCATAAGTAACGCTTGCATGATAAGGTATAGACTCCTATTTTCAATTAATTATTATATCCCCTTTAGAATTATTTACAATATCAACTTTTCAATTTATCATTTGATTAAGAAAAAAATCGGTTGTCTCAAACATTGGTCATTCTCCAAAAATTCAAATCACCCATTCTAGAATATTTTAAACTACTTTTGGCATATTCTGATATCCAGAACATTATCTACGTGAATATATATTGTTTTAGCACTGGCTTCCTTTCCTTGTTTATGTTTCTACATAAAATACAATGCTTTATATTTGTTTTGTTAATTTATTTAGATTTATTTCCTTTAAGTAGAAGAAAATTAAATGAAGTTCTAATGTACTCATGATAAAACACGCTGAATGTATAAAAATTAAAATTGCGCGAGCAAATGAAAAAACAAAATTACTTCTGGAATGATTTCATAATCATTTCTGAGATTTGTTTGATAAGCTTTCGCGTTGTCAGTAGATTTAATAGCCATGACTATTGTGTAAAAATGTAGCACATGTAAAGAAACATTATGAATTTAGATTTATAACAATGCCTTGGAAAAAAGATTTCAAGATTCTTAAGAATAAAAATTTAGAATATAAAATTTTTTCACATAAAAAATCAAGTAAAAGAGACCTCGACATCCTATTGTTAGTTAAAAAAAATTCAAGGCTGACTAAGTTAACAACCGATTATCAGACTATGCAAGCGATAGTTCTTGAATAATAAAAACGATGCAAAGGTATGCAGATTAAATCCATAATATTTACCGTTTAACGAACACAGTTGTTATTTTACGATGTTTCTTTATTGATTGCGCGATTAATGTGCGCGAATAATCTCATGCATCTTCAGGCACATACTTTGAGTTTCACTCCGTTAATAAAGGCCAAAGCACGTTACGAGTCATCGCATGGCTAGACATCTCATAATATCCTTCGTGGAGCGCCATTTATCCGCATCGGCCTCATTGAAGCGCGTTCACCAGGTTGCCCGAAGAGTTCGTTGAACGCGCGCCGATCTACTCGAAAGTGAATATAACCTTGATTTATCTGCACACTAAATTTTCTAGAGTATATGAATTGCGTTTTTTTCTCTTTCAATGTTGTTTTTTTATAAGCGAAATTTGCAAGACGATACGTAATCTAATCGTAACGTTACGCATCCTTGCGTGCATCGAGGACTCCGCGCGCCTACCAGCTGTTTATCGCGTGCACATTATTTCAACGATCGTAAACCATTCAATTTGAAATGCTACATGCAGTATGATTATCAAGCAACTATCAAATAATTCGGAGAACATATTAGGATTTTATCCGTCAAGATGTGCCGAACGCCTAAAGATTAACAATAATTAGAAACGCTATATTAGAAATATTATAATATTAATACTTTTAAATTGTAATTACATACAAATGCATGTGCGTTATCTAAAATTTTCCGAACTTTCATTGTATTGATCTGGTAACGAATATAGATAAAAACTTAGATTGTGACTATAAAGATTAGAGATAACATTGATAAAGCTCTCAAAACGATGTTTCTTATTAAAATACGTGCAAAAATGTTTCTGAGAATTCTTGCGTTAAACAATAACAAAATTGACATAAATACTTTTAACACAAATTTATTATGTTAACTTAACACGGCACTTCCAATATAAAGTTTTTAACCGCGAATTTAAATATAATTGAATTGATATATCTGCTTCTATCATTTAATCAAAAATTTGTAAAAATAATTGAAAAAAGACACATTATCGCTGTCATTTACTGACAATATTTTGACAGATTGAAATGTATCAATTTTGCATAACCTAAAATCACTTACAGAAAACTGATTCGGTGCGAATACGTATTGTCGATATCGAAACAGATCACGGTTTAAAACGTCCATATCGCGTGTAAAAATTGTGATAAAATTGTGCGTTTAAATCCCACATTTCTTATATGATTCCACTATTTATAAAATCAATCCAAACACCGCAAAACTAACAATCTATTACAACTGACATTTCCCGCAATATGTCAGCAGGTTTCTGGCAGCAATACAGAGTTACCAATTGTTGCAAAAAAAATAATACTAACTAAAGTATGCATTGATAAAAAGATTCTAGTTTCTAAACTAAAATAGAGTGCAATAGAAATCCTTACAAAAAAAATACCAACTATCTCTCTCACAATCACAACTGTCAATTTCTAGTTTTATTTTCTGTCTACTTGACTTGTTTTTGAACAAATTTAATCTAACCTAAAATTCTACTTAACCTAATCTGAGCTTGCTTGTTTTGTTATTATCAATTCACACGGAGTTCGCGGCACTTTTTAGAGGTTGATAACTGTTTTTCTTTTTTCGTTTTTACATAGCATTTTAACCAGTATTTTTAATATATTTTTTATTATTTATTTTTTCTTTATTTGCAAATTTCAAATATATAATTAATTAATCTATAAGGACTGCAAAATATTTAAAACTGTGTAAAGTTTATATTTAAAAAAAATTATTGTACATGTAATTTATTTTTTGTAACTTAATTTTAATATAATGTACTTTGCAAATAGTAATCGCATTTTTAAAAAAAATTCCTTTTTGTGTAATCAATATTTTTTTGTAGAATTATTGAGTAAATAATGTTTGATTTTTAAAATTTATTAAGCTGAATTAAGCTCCAAACACTTGTTTGGAAGATGACACAAGTGCAGGACATGGAAGTCATCGAATTGATGTCAGATGATGAAGAAAATTTAAATCAAGTTCAATCTAAAGTGTATAATAGTTGCATCAATTTTAAATGTCGTTCTGGAGTAAATATGAAACTGGCACCTTCTTTTGCGTGTGCTTATTATGGAGTCACCATTGAGAAAAAAAAGAAGAAGAAACGTATGATATGTAAAGAATGTTTTTATACTGCTCTGCAGCATCAAAAGGTAATTTTAATTAATATTTTGAAAATAAATAATATTGCATATTGAGAGACTAACAATAATGTTATTATTATTGTTATTGTTAATGTTATTATTAATGTTATTGTCAATGTTATTGTTAATGTTATTGTTAAAATATTGTTATGTTTATAGCAATTAGTGAAGGCCTTTATGGAAAATAAATCACTGTTAGACTGTGATTTTCCAGACCATACAATGGAAGTAGAAATTTCTGATAGCGATGATTCTGATGACGAGAAGAAAAAGGGACCGAAAAATGATGATGGTATATAGAATTTTTAATATTATTTTTTAAATTATTGTGATCAAAAGAGCTAAGTGGTATCCAATTTTGCAATTAATTAAGTAAATAAAATGTGAAAATTATAATTGCTTTTATTTTTGGCAGAATATATACCAGAAGATGTACTTTTGGACATTAAGGATAAATTTGATGATATGTTATTACATATTTGCAAAAAGTATAATTTAGAACAACATACAAAGAAAGTGTGTGATAGCCTGGAAAAGAAATGGCAAAACATACATGGTAAGATACATTTATATTTATTATATGAACATAAATTGCATATAAAAATAAAAATCTTTATTTGTAAAACATGCTTTGTATATTGTATTATTTATTAACAGCGACAAATGAATCTATTAGTACTGAAATACGGGAAGTGATGAATAACATGGATAGATTGCGTAACTCATTGTATGATGACTTTAGACCACAAATTAAAATGATTGAAGAACTTCAAATAGACGATGGTAGTATACAAAATATTCCTCCGCTTGTGGCAACAAAGAAAGTGACGCAAATACGTGTTCCGTCTACCACTTTATCGCAAGATAATCAATTGGAGATTTTAGCGATAGAACCACCGACCACCAAGAAGATTATGGTTCATAATTTACCAGCGGCATGCGGTCCGCTCGTAAAGCCAACTCCAGAACCAGATAGTAACGTTTATATTACGAAGAACCCAATTATGCCCTGGATTAGAGCTAAAGTTTGTATTTAATTTCTATTATATATTTATGATATAAATTATGTTTTTATATTATTTATATCTCCATTAAATAAGACAAAAATTAAAGAACAAAAATATTTCCACAGGTTCTTAGTATAACTTCAAAAAATCCATGGCTCTTTCGTGTTAAACTAATGCAAAAGAAGTACAATGGAGCAGTCAAAACTGTTTATGGCAACTTGTTAGCATTAGCCGAACCGAGCAAAGTCGTGATCCCAGTTAGAACGCGTGTTGTTGCCATATTTCACGATGTCAATGCTAGTAATTACTATAGTGGAATAATTGCCGAGCCACCAAAGTCTACAAATAAGTTTAGGTGAGTTGGAAGATTTCTTAACAGGTTTATTTAAACAACGATATTTATAGGTAATAAATAATGTACATAAAAATATGGGAATATCGCAATCTTATTACACTTTATTGTAATATTAAATTATTAAATATTGTGTTAATTTTACCACTACAGATATTTGGTATTTTTTGACGACGGTTATGCTCAGTACGTATACCATAAAGATGTCTATTTGGTTTGGGAAACCTCACTGCGCGTTTGGGAAGACGTTCCCAGCGAATCACGAGATTTCGTGAAGAAGTACTTCGAATCGTACCCCGAAAGACCGATGGTAAAACTACAACGTGGTCAAATGGTCAAGACTGAATGGAAGGGCAAATGGTGGCTCGCGAAAGTCATACAGGTCGATGCGAGTTTAGTCCAGATGCATTTTGAGGCCGACGGTAGAACCGAATGGATTTATCGTGGATCGACTAGATTGGGTCCTCTGTTCCTCGCAGTTTTGAAAGCCAATACGAGACAACTTCAACAATCAAGGAACACGCATACTCGACATCGCATTCCCGCCGCTTCTAATGTAAAGCAATTAATAAGTTATTCACTTTTAAAATGTAGAAACTCTTCAACAATATTTAAAAATGTTGAAATTGCGTTTTATATATTCTCTGTTATGAATTATAATTTCAGAAAAGCAACTTGCCTTACGTTGAATATACATCTAATGTGGACGAAGATGTAACGCAGACTACACAAGCGGAAAAAGCACCAATTACAAGCACAGCATCCAGCACACCGTCCACTGCACCGCAACAATCGCGTGCAGTCGCCAAGAAAAGTACTGCCAAAAGACAAAGTAATGTAGAAAGTACAACATATAATTCTACGTTGGAAACGAAACCGTCACATAGTATTGTTGTAAGTATAGTATTGGTGTAAGTAAATAACATTTTTCTGATTTTTTTTAAGCTATCTTCTATTCTGCTGATATTTAATGTGCTATTATAATTTTTGCAGTTTTACCACACGCAGAGGCGATACGAACCGAAAAAATACGTCTCTCACAAGTGTGGACCAAAATGTATTAAAGATATTAAAATTTCTTACAATGAACTCAAAGGACTCTCTTCTCCGCTCTCCATTCCTCTGCTATGTGGCTGGCATCGTCAACTTTGTAAATTCTCTAAGGGCAAGAAAGTTATAATGTATCAAGCGCCGTGCGGTATGAGCTTGCGAAATATGGAAGAGCTGCATCATTATCTTCGTCTTACTGGATCAACATTGTCTGTCGATCTGTACGATTTCGACTACTGGGTGCGACCGTTTGCAGATTTTATTGTGGAGAAATGCTTCATCAATATCAAAGTAAGTCACACACACATCAACGTTAAAATGTAAAATCTATTTAAAAATAAGTGAACTGGTGCGAAAAAATAATAATTTTTTACAAATATCATTGCTTGTATATTAAATTCGTATGAATATTAAAATATGATTAACATTGTTATTTTACATTGAAAAGGATCTCAGTTATGGCGTGGAAAATATTCCAATACCATGCGTAAACGATTTGGATCACACTCAGCCGGATACCATAAGATACACAACACGTCGCGAGCCGACGGAAGGTGTTAACTTAAATCTGAATCCTGCATTTTTGTGCAGCTGCGATTGCGAGGACGATTGTCAGGTATGAAATCCAATAACGCTTAATGCAAATTTATGCTACTTTGTTTCGTTATAATATAGGATAAAACAAAATGTCAATGCTGGCAATTAACGATACAAGGAGCCACTTTAGGAGGGAAAGTGCCGAATATTGCCGTTGGTTACATTTATAAACGTTTGCCAGAAGCGGTGACTACAGGAATATACGAATGTAATTCAGGATGCAAGTGTTCGGTGAAAACTTGTCTCAACCGAGTGGTGCAACATCCTCTCGGTTTAAGATTGCAAGTGTTTAAAACGGGAGTGCGTGGTTGGGGCATAAGATGTCTCAATGACATTCCGCATGGTGCTTTTATCTGCATATATGCAGGGCGATTGCTCACTGAACAGGTTCAGATAGTCAAAACTCACTCATTTATCTACCGATTAATTTTTTTATTAATATTGCTTTTTATTTTATAGGGCGCGAACGAAGGAGGCAAGAATTACGGCGACGAATACCTAGCGGAGTTGGATTATGTGGAAGTGGTGGAAGGTTTCAAAGAAGGTTACGAAAGCGATGTTCTTGATCCAGAAATGCCCGAAATATCAACTGCGAAGAATGATGATGAGAAGAACACCGCTGACGCGAGCGACGAGGAAGAAAATACGAAGGAACACGAAGAAGAGGACGCTACGAAGGAAGATTCGGATGAAGATTTCAATATCGACACTTACGTAGCTCTCAATAAAGATTTCTTGGAAACAACTGCGGAATCTTCGTCCATTAGGTGTGTATTGCATTAAATCTCATGCCATAATTAATGCATTTTCGCTGCTGGAATATATTGCAGAATTTAAGAATCCACTTTTTATAATTATTGCAGTACATAACAGCTAAACTGTAATGTTTGTATAAATGGAAATACTGCAAAAAGAACACTTTGTTATTAGGAAACGTTTGAGAAAACGAAAAAGAGGAGAGGCGGACGTGTCCGAAGAGAATAGTGACGACGGAAAGGTTACGACGAAAGGCTCGAATAGTGCGACAAAATCATCCACGAATGAGAATCGTACGACGGATCAGGATACGATTAACATAAGCGACGATGATGAAAATAGAAACGATGTCAGAGAACCGAGTAGATTCGAGCCAAGTATGGAGCCGAAGCAAATAGAGAGATCACTAACATTCAAGTCCGTGAGAGAGTACTTCGGCAAAGACGAAGCCGTTTACGTCATGGATGCCAAAACTACTGGAAATATCGGTCGTTATTTGAATGTAAATAATTATTTCTATTTTTATATATTTGCGAATTGCGAAATTATGATGATTGTAACATAAATTGTTCCTACTAATATTTTTTTTTCCAGCACTCCTGCGATCCAAATGTATTTGTGCAAAATGTTTTTGTCGACACGCATGACGTGCGTTTTCCATGGGTGGCATTTTTCGCATTACAGTATATAAAAGCTGGACAAGAATTAACATGGAATTACAGTTACGATGTAGGCAGTATACCGGGCAAAGTTATTATTTGTAAATGTGGTGCAGCAAATTGTAGAGGTCGTCTTTTATGAATTATTAATTTTGTAGTAATAAACTTTGCTCTTTATAGATATACAAATTTTCACTAGCAAAATCGGCAATTGATAATATATGATACAAGCATCATATTGCTATCATCATTTATGACGATTAATAGCTGTATGTATGATTTTTTTAACATAAAAATATATTCTCTACTTTTTTTAATTCGGAAGATATATATATTTTAAAATGATTTATGAATGAATATGTAAGAAATAAAAAACAATGTTCATAACAATGATTTGTAAGAAACAAAAACAATTGTTCATAACAATATTTGCTTATTATTTTTGATTGTACATTCGTAGCATTCGTTAGACACGTTACACGTCGTTAGCATTGCAAACATACTATTTCCTTTGTATCGCAATTTATACATATTTCATTTGAAACTCAATTCAGCACACAAGTATCTCAAAGGAGAATTTAGCACTTTGCTTAAGATTATAAGGGATTTCACTGCCGTCACAAAAATATTAGATTTAAGCGGAGTAATATGCTTCAAACGTTTATGACATAAAAATGTATAAAAAAGTTTTTTAGGAGATTTATAAATTAATAACAAATAATGTAAAAGTCGTACACGTATACATCTTATAGAATATATCAAAATACATTGTAGTTATATGATTGTAGTTTAAACTAAACTAACTTTCGTAACTGTCTCGGCTACGAAAGAATAATATCTTGTTATTATAAATCTGTAACTTATATGTATATTTAGAACCATGAAGAATTAATTATCGCAAGAAGAATATGAGTTCTTCATTATACACTCTCTCGACATGCAGTACATTATTATTATTATTATTAATATTATTATTATTATTATTATTATTATTATTATTATTATAAAACAGCATCCACATACCTATATTCATTTAATTTAAAGTGTTTAAATACGTTATCCTAGTCATCATAGGCGAGAAATAAAAACAAAGCTGTGGTGGAATATTCTTTCTCTCTCTCTTTCTCTCTCTCTATAAGGAGGAACATTAACGTACTAAAATAACAAAATTATGATTTCGTATTTTGTTTGGTTTTATGCTAGTGGAGTTTAAGAAGCTGTTTAATTTCGTCCTTCTCAGCCGCGTCCAAATAACTCGTACCGTCCGGTGTTAAACCATCTGGTTTAGCTCCTTTCTCCAGCAACAGTTTTACACAATTCGTATGCCCCTCCCAAATAGCTGCCAGTAACGTCGTGATTCCATGCTTATCTGTAGCCTATAAGAAACGACGTTTTACTGTGTATATGTGAATTATATAATCTGAATTAAAAAAATTACTCATTAGAGATAAAAAAGAATTATTCTTATAAAATAAGAACAAAATAATTACATAATATATAATAACTTTATAAAAATATTAGTTTGTTATTTAATCAATTTAAAGTATCATTTCTTGATTGCAATTTACATTGGCATTTGCTCCTTTGTCCAATAAGTATCTGACAACTTCGCTTTGACCATAATCTGCTGCATAATGAAGTGGTGTTCTTCCATCAATCATTTGATTTACATCAATATTCTAAGAATACAGAAAAACAGGTTAATTGTTATGCAGTAATAAATACAATAAAATCTTATTTTTATATTTTGTACATATTATCAATGTTTTTACTATAAAAATATTTGAATAATTAAGAAGGCTGTAACATGCAGTTCCTATTTTTTTAATTTCTACTGTATATCTTATATAATAATTTTCATATATATGTATATTATATATATATATATATATATATATATATATATATTATATATATATATATT